ATTTTTGCAGTGAATGAAATAATTTTAAGTGTCAGATTTTATTAAAAAATGGTTAAAATAATGAAAAATGCTAAAATATATACTTTTATGTTTTCTGTGCAAAATGCAATTAAATGCTATTCTTTATAAACTACACTTGCCTTTGTCATAAACATTTAGAAATGTGTCTGTAGCATATATAAATTGTCTTGTTGAAAATATGGGAACAAATAAATTTCATACATTTTAGAAACCTATATTTGTTGCAAGAAATGAAACAAATTTTTAGAGATGCCAGCTGTTAAGAATTTTCCGTAATTATTACTCATTTCTGCCTTCTATTACAAAATTACATGTGTGATTAAAAATTGATGTGGTAAAGCCCAGCTCATGGCTGCTCCAGCTTAGCAAAAATGAAAGATCTAAGCTTATGATTGTGCCAATGTCACAGTTGATATTGTCAACTTCCAACAGTTGTGCTGACATCATTATCAGTATGTGAAATTGACATGAACCATTGTGCTGTTATATGTATGTATGTATCTTTGCAAAATGGAATGTTTGTTAACTCACTGCTTGATAATGAAATTTTTTTGAGAGATAAGCATGCCAGCACTGGCAGTCTGCATATTTCAAAGTAATGGAAGATCTGAAGCTCGTAGTGTTGGAGAAAACTGGAGGGCTATCATGCTTAAAATAATTTGAGTTTGGGAATTTGATCAGTGATTGTTAAATTTTTTATCAGTTGCAGAGAGCTGGAAAGAGAAGGGGTGGTATTTTTGCAGTATGATCCCAGGGCTTCCACAAAGTTGCCAGTTGTTGGTGACTATTTTTTCACCAACCTAACATGTAAAGTATAGAAGCCATTTAAAAAAAATGTCAGTGTGCTGAAAATTTCATAAAATATCAATGAATTAGTGAAATTAAAAATGCAAGAAACACCCATAATGAAACAATAAAAATTACATAAAACAAATATCGATAATGAAGCCCTCAAAATTTGATAAAAGAGGAACAAATTTTCATCTAAATTAGAAACGTAACGAACATCCACAATAAAATTCTTAATTTTCTATTTTCTTGGTGTGTGTATGCAACAACCTGTTTTAACTTGGGGGGGGGGAGAAAACAGAGAATTACAGAATTCCTTTGTACTGCAGAGCAAATTGCAGCTCTGCTCTCTATATATACACATGGATTTATTTTAACTTAAAAAAATTTTTAGAGAATTGCAGAATTATCTGCATTCCAAAGGAAACCAGTTGCTGTTCTCTTATGTACACATCACACGCAAAAGTGCTGTTCTCTTTTGTACACATCAACCTAAAAAAAAAGAAAAAAAAATATGCAGGTATCTCGACATTGCAAAGCAACTTGGCACTGCTCTCCATGTACATATTGACTTCAAAAAAGGATCAGAATACTGCTTTTATTCGAAAAAAATCAATTTTTTGACATTTTGCTTTTTTCTTAATAGACTTGCATATTTCTTTCAGATAAATTGCCTCAGTCAGTAGCTGGACACATATTGAGAACTATAAGAATGACAAAACTTGTCAGATGTATATTCAACAATGAATAAAGTGAGCAGCTGTTATAAACAATATTCAGTTATTCTCAAACCAAATTCCTACTCATATTCGAACGCTTTGCTGGCAATCTTTAACACTAAATTTTCATACAATTTGATAGTTTGCTTCATGGAAATTCCCAGACGGTGCCCATTACGTCTTGGCACAATGCTCACGCAACCATTGGTGGATAAAAGACGATAAAATGCATTTTCATTGCGACGTAGGGCTTTGCCGGTGATTTTCTTTGCTGCTGAGTGGATAATGCAAAAGTATCGAAGCCGTTAAGAATTTAAGTATGCTAATGCTATGGCTTAAATAATGATTGATAAGTTTTTTTGGCCGTTTGAGAAGTAAAGATACGTGGCGTATTCAGAAACTAAGTACCGTTTAAAAAAAAAAAAAAAAAATAGTAAAACAATTTTTTCGAATCCAATTTTATTTTTACATGAAAATACATGTCTTAAACTATTTTTCAACATAGTTTCCGCCAATGATCAAACACTTGTCATAGCGGGTGACCAGTTTTTGTATACCATCGTCAAAGAAACTTCCCGCCAGTTTCGATAACCACGACTCCACAGCATTTTTCGTGTCATCGTCAGATCCAAAGCGCTTGCCACCAAGCTCGTGCTTTACGTGCAAGAACAAGTGATAGTCAGATGGCGCCAAGTCCGGGCTGTACGGCGGGTGATCGAACTGCTCCCAATGAAACTGTCGAATTAACGATTGAGTGACACCAGCAGTATGGGGCTGAGCATTGTCATGGAGCAACACAATTCCTTTACTGAGCATTCCTCTTCGTTTGTTTTGAATGGCACACCTTAATTTTGTTAAAGTCTTACAATATCGTGCCACATTAATGGTTTTCACCTCTGGGAAGAAATTCAGTAAGCAAAACGCCTTTCCTATCCCAGAAGACAGTGCACATGATTTTTTTGTGATGACATTGTCACTTTGAACTTTTGTTTTTTCGGAGAATGAGTGTCTCCACTCCATCGATTGTTGTTTCGATTCTGGTGTGAAATGACACACCCAAGTTTCATCACCTGTCACAATTTGGTTTAAAAAGTTTTCTCCCGCACTGTACCGTGTGAGAAATGTCAGGGCACTACCAAGTCGCTTTGTTTTGTGAACATCAGTGAGGATTTTTGGAAACCATCGGGAACACAGTTTGCGATAATTCAAGCGGTCAGACACAATTTCGAACAAAACAGTACGTGAAATTTGTGGAAATGCCTCTGAAAGAGTTTTCATTGTGAAGCGTCTGTTCACATCACATGAATTGCTTCATCAACTTTCCTTACCAAATCATCGGTGACAACAGAAGGCCGACCACTCCGAGCCTCGGCGTGGACATTTGTTCGACCTGCATTAAACATTCTTATCCACTTTCTCACCATTCCATCACTTATCGCATATTCACTGTAAACTTCTGTCACTTGACGATAAATTTCGGCCGGTTTAACATTCCTCGCATTCAAAAATTTAATCACGGCACGAATCTTGCAGTCAGCGGGAGAACTAATTGTCTTAAACATTTTGAATGTACACAGCAAACTGAAAACACAACATAGAGCAACCAAAATGGTGACAATTGAAAGTCAGTGAACAAGAAAGACTAGTGCGCATGCGCGGGGTGCCTACCACAGCGCTGCGACGACACTAGAATGAAACGGTACTTAGTTTCCGAATATGCTACGTATTTAAACAGTGTAGCAGTTTGATTTGAATTTCACCAATGATCTTCAATGATCACCATTCTTAATAATTGCTCACAAAACAGTCAGAACTTGTTGTATTTTTCTTTTATATTTTCTGTGGATCTTCTAAACCCTAAAGCATGGTATAGAAAAGGTTATGGCTATGAAAGAGGTGACTGAAATTTTTTTTATAGTTTTGGAGATGCAAAGGAAGAAAGATGTATTAAATCTGTGTATGAAAATGCATTTGATTGTGTCTTAATATATGTAATGGAGGAACAGAATGCACTGGTGTGAAAGAAAAGGACAAACTGATGGATTTGAATGGTATTTCCCAAAGCAAGAAAGTGTGAGTCTGCATGATGTTTGTAGGAGTATGCAGAGAAGCTTGTGGTTGGTTTAATTAGTCAAATGAGCATTTGTGATATTCTAAGGATTGCAAAGTATTCAAAAGTAATAAGTGATTTTTTTATATTTTGTTGTTGCTGTCAGTAATTATTAAGCTGTAGCTGGCAATGGAGAAAGGTAGGCCAAAAATTGAGAAGAAAAAATCTATACTTCCTTCAATATGTGGCCATTTGGTGCCCATTTTCATGCAGTGTCTTCTGGAGTTGTAGCCTTTTGGGTTATGCAAAAATGGGCCAAATTAGTGACTTTCAGAATCATGCCAAGCAGTGTATTAAGGTTCATTTTCTCCTGTTGAGGCTGCAACCTGTATTTTTGTTAAAAACCATTGTTAAAACTCAAGAAGAGAAAATCATGATTGTTGTGGGCCTAAGAGTATCAAAATAGGACTCTTAATAACTGTAAAAAAGTTACTTGGTATTCTGAAGATATGTTGTACCCAATGGCAATTTTTCAAGAAGATGGAAGTGAAATTATGGTCTGAGGAATATTTTCCTAGAGTACAGGGAATCTCTTGATATACCTGGAAGCACATTTCAGTATTTGAGCGTTCCTCAAAATCATTGTCAATTGCATACACTCGTTTGTACGATTTTTCTTGATGTAGATAGTAACTTTCAGCTGGGCAATGTACCTTGTCACCATGCTTAATTAATTTAAATTTGTTTGAAGAGCTGGATTCCGAGTTCAGTTTGCTTTCACGGCCAAGTCAATCCCCTATTCACCATTTGAGTGATGAAATGAAAAAAGAACTTCAGCGCTTAGAAATACCCTATCCAATCGAAATGAACTTGTAGCTTGCATTATATTGGCATGGAAAATTCATACAATATTCTTCTGGTTATCAATATCCTTGAATTCAATCCCAGAAAAATATCAGCTGCGATCAAAACTTAAGGTGGATTGGTGCTTTATTAGAGTTATCTGTAATGTGTTGGCCTTTCAATGTAAATGCAGAGTATAATTGAAAAGGAAATGAAAATTTGCCTTTGGGAATTTATAATAAGAATGATATGTAAGTATGAAAATATTTGAACATAATGCAAGAGAAAGTCCAAAAACTTATTTTTAGCATTTCTACAAAGGCGGTGTTTAAGGTTTTGCCAGCAGTCTAAAAGAAATTAGATATGGTCTTACTGTAATTTTATTGAGCTAATTTGGTTGTGGCATAGGGATGTAAGTTTGGTATCCCGTTGTGTGGAGTGACTGATAACTCTACACAGTCTGTTTAAAGATTTATAATTACTTTTCTGTTTTTGAGTTTAACTGAGGATGTGCATTCTTCAAGTGTTATATACTATTGATAAATGCTCATTATTTTTATTTAAAAATTTTATTTCAGAATGTAATTTCAACAAATCCACCTGAATCAACCTTTAAGAAGCTTGCCCCATCTAGAAATAGGTATACCTTACTAAGGGATGAATTGTGATGGGATGTTTATTAAATGGTTTGTATCTTCATTAAAAACAAGCTTTATATTTTAATTTTTAAGCATTTCCTGTGCTGAATGTTTGCCCATTGCTACAAAAGGAATGTGTATTTGATAGATTTTATAAATCTACAGATAGTTTTAAATTATCCTAGATATAAGAACACAAACATATATCTCATTTTGGCTTCTTTTTAGAACACATTTTTATTCATTTAAAGCATTTGATCATCAAGATGTTTGAAATAAATGCAACTGTTTATTTTGAAAGTGGTCAAGTCCATTTTTTCTTCTTTAGAGATATTTAAAGGCTAGCATTTTAGTCAATTAAAAAAATATATAAATTGTACTAAGTTTGGCAATGTTTCAATGCATTTAGAAACATATAATTTGATTATATAAATGAGTTTTACTTGAACTTAAGTAATATATTCTTTCTGGGTCGTAAATAGACTTGCACTACTTTTGTAATTATTGAATTGTAAAAATTTAATTTCAGTAATCAAAATTTTAATTTTACTTGAAATATAGTGTGTTAAGTTCGATTTTGTTTATAAAAAATAACAAAAATTGCATATTGTTTTTATTCTTGGCATTAAAAAGATTTACTTATTGTTAAACTATTTAATGATAAGTTTATAATTATTGTGAGTTTGAATGTAGATATTGTTTTTAATTTAGGCTCATTATGTGGAAGTTTTTTGAAATATTCATGATATAAGGCACTAACTGCATCACATCCTTATTTTTTTTCTACGTGATGGGTCGAGCATCTTTATACAAAGGCATTAGTGTAATTCTTCCAAATTTTGGCGGTCTCCTTCGACCGCTTCGTGGACACATTCTTAAATATATTGATGCTTTATATAAAATAGTATGTTCTGCACTTTAACCTTATCCAACGTATTTTCAGCCAGTTTACTTTTCTCCTTCAGTATTCCTTTTTTAAATTGCCCTTTCGAGATATTTTGTTGAAATGAAATTTTTACATTTTATTTTGCACAAATTATTATTTTATCAACATTGTTTTATAATCTCATAATAATCCTCAGGAGTCTACAAGAAATTCTATTTTCGTAATGCCATTTCTATAATACCAAAATCTGCATCATGTGGTAGATACAAATGACCGGAAAGTAAAAATTTATGATCGATGATTAATGTGTTATTATCCAAGGACTGCATAACTCTTAACTAAATCAAAGCCATTTGTATATTTCGATTTTGTCCAATGCTTATATTACTGTATGCTGTAACATGATTTTGAGTCGTTACATTTTATGTTTCAATAGCAAAATACTATTTCCTGCAATCCCCTAGAAGCAGTAATTTCATCCCATACATACATAAAAACTTTACTGGCATGGAAATTATGAAATACCTCATTAAAAACATACATATTTTGCTTATAATATGCAAGCTAAACATATAGTTTCAGATATGGTAAGGCTTTCTGTAAATCAAAAGAAAAGGCGAAGTATCTATCTGGATTTTCTGATGCTAGAATTTTCATCTTCTTGTAAAGCTTTTCTTGTTATTCAGCATTTTTTAGGTGAACATCATGTCTTTGTATAATAGTCACTTTTTTCCTTCGTTTGTTGTCTGAATTTTCACATTAAAAAAAATCCCATCTTTCATACATGTCTTTGTGTAACTGATGAAATTGGAAATCTTTTATAAAGATTTTCATGTATTTCCATTCATTAAATGAAGTTGCATTATTTTCCTCACATTTTTTAATTTTCTAAGTATAAATTAAGTTTTTTTTTTTTTTTTTTTTTTTTAAGTTTAATTCAGAGTTCAAATATTTTCATACTGGACTTTGGCATTGACTTTCAAATGCCAGAAACTGACTTTGCAGTGATTGAAAAATGCCAGAAAACTTCTTATGTGTTCTGTCACAGTTTTTATCGATTGTTCACCAGTTTTTCTGCAAGAGTCATCCATTCACCCATGCATGTCTTTTGGAATATCCCATGTCTTTTGGAATATCGTTTGCTTTTAAGACATGATCAATCTGTCTGACAGATATATTATATGTATCTTTAAAAAAATTCTTACATACTAAAATGTTTCCACATGGATTGCCCAAGTGAAAAAGTGAAATTTATAAACACAAGTCCTGGATGCTCCCAAATAATTTCTTGGTCCTGACCTTTTCACAGTACATCTATAAACACTTCCATTGAGAAATATGTTTTCCTTATCAAAATTGGCCATGTTCCGAAATTGATAAAAAAAGTGTTTTGCGTTTTGCTTCATTATTATGTTCTGTACATTTTTTCAAGTAGTAACAATTTTGTTCAATTTTGTTTTGTTTGTTTAGCATTTCTTTTGGCTTTATATATTCTTTGGGCATATTTTTCTTTTATTTTCTTTTGCAAAATCCAAGTTTTGGGTATATGAAATATCATCCTCATCTGATGTAGATTCTAGCAGTACAGTAAAAAGTCCGAGATCCGGACATCCAATATCCGGAATAATCTAAAATCCGGACCTTAAAGCAACCACTAACCAATTTTTTTTGGGGGGGGTATGCTTTTTATCAAGCACATTTGATTTTTTCTCCTCATAATAAAACTTGCAGAAAGTCCGGATTCTTAAACTCACTTCAGCATTGGATAAAATACCTTATTGAATAAAAAAATCATTTTAGCGTAAATTTGTGTAATCAATAATTTATGCTAAAATGATTTTTTATTCAATAAGGTAGTTTTTTATTCAATAAGACTCTGTAGCTGCGTATCTGTTTGGCCAAACTAAAACATTCTATATAGAAACATCATTGATCTTATACCAACTAATATTTTATACCCTTGATGCTAACCTGCCAAATCATTATTATATTTTGTTTTCATCAACACATGATAACTTGAATGATGACTCCTGCGGCGATGTTGTAAAATGTTGAAGTATAATGGGACTGCCTTAACATCTAGTTGGGAGTCACCCTTTTTTATCGGAAATACCAAAAGTATATTTGTTCCTCCTTACCCATCCCTTATTTTTACAATCACTGGCTGTAATCATCTACTTTCTATTACAAAAATGTTTTTTAAGTGATGAAAATATTCATGTTTGGTCTGTGTCAAATTTAAAAAAAGGGGGGGGGGAATTACGAAATCTAACTTTTAATGCAGTCTCCCAGTTCCTATACTCATAATTGGGAAAGTTTTACACTCGCTCTGAAAAAGAAAGTAAAAGAAGTTTCACTCCCTTACAACAAAAAAGGCCTGGTATATTTAATTTCAAAATTTGCAATTTTTCATGTCATTTTCAACTTGCCATGAGGAATCGGTTGATAAAAGTTATGTAATTTCTGATAAGTTATCAAGATTATTTGTGTAGTAATGATGAACACTCAGATAGTGAGTGTTATTACTGACAGTAAAATAATGTATTTCCGATGAAAAAATGCCACCTTCTATATTATTTTCTTGTCAGTGATCAAGAAGCAGAGAAAAACTATTTGACCACTGAAGATAAATTAAACTGGATTTAAATTGATGAAAAAAACCTAAACTAGAAATATTTTTAGGTGAAGCGGGTATGAAAGTAGTGTCTCATTGCACAAATATTCTTATTCTAGTTAATTACTTCCATTCTTTCTCTTCTAAGTTTCTTCAAATCAATAACATATATAAATTATTATTTTATTTAATATGAGCAATTACTGGATTTGCCCACTACACATTTAAAAGTGTCAAAAATCACTCATGTCTGTTTCTGTTTTAGGATATTTTTGACCTTACTGTTTTCTGCAGTTTATGGTTTTCAACTGTTTCTGAGAATCGTTTTCTTCTTTTAATGAAAATTATAAAAAAAAAAAAAAAAAAAAAAAAAAAAAAAAAACCTCTTTCTGATTTATATTGTAATTGTGAATTATTCAAATTCTGTGATGAGCTGTCTGTATGTTCTAAGCCTAATTATAACATAAAGTTTTTGGGACGGTAATCTTTTTAGAACAGTGATTTTCAAACTGTATTCCGTGGAACCCTGAGGTTCCAACATTCAAAGCCCAGGTTCCCCGAGTCAAAATAAAAAACCGAAAAGGAAATTGTTATACACTCATGTTAGTTGACTGATGATTGTTAAGTAAAAATTATAAAGGTACATTTAATTACAGATTAGTTTAAAAACTTAGCATGTGGTCGTCATCATATGCAAATAGAATGACATGCAATCCTTTGCAAAACTAAGTTTTTTTATGGAAAATGAATTGAATTTAAACGATAGTGTTAAAATTGATCTAATGCATCACCTTTTTTAGTTGACGAAAACATTTAACAGAATATTTCCTAGAATAAAAATCTTAGTATGACTTGATTAAAAATCCATTTTAGCTCTACGATAAATCAAAAGGTGTGCCAGTGAAGGAAAGGAAACAACATATCAACAGATTAGACATCTAAAGCAAGAGCAGCTCTTAAAGTTCTTGTTTTAGATTCAGGCATAATACCTAAAAGTTTCTCACACAGCAATAAATATTTGAATGCTGTTTGAAATAATTTAAGTGAAAAATTGTTCTCAATGCATGTGGCAACAAAAATGAAATATAAAAAACAAATCATGAAATCTGATTGCAGATAAAATTCAGCAAAGCTAGACTTGGATAGTTTGTGTAAAAAAATGCAAGCATACCTTTATCACTAAACATAATGAAAGGGTTGGAGATATCTGTAGACAAGTAAATGTTATTAATGAGTTAATTACATTAATTTATGTTAAAATTAAAAAAATACTTTTCATTAATTATATTTATATAAAGTACCTATCACATACTGATCTACTTTAAATATTATTTTAAAATATATTCTTCTGAGGGTGAGATGGAGTTCGTCGAAAAATTTTTATTCTTTTAAGGGTTCCATGAGCTGACAAAGTTTGAAGACCATGGTTTTAGAGTATTATAACAAGTACAGTGACCCTTTTAATTATAAGTTGATATTTGTGAGAATATAAAAGATTAGTATTTTCAATATTCAAAGGCTTTCCTAACAAAGTTTATTCGACAATTGAAGTTTAATAGTAGAATAGAAATGGCAAATATTTAAAATATGTATTTGCAATATAGAGTGATACTTCACTTCTTATACCATCATCAGAAGGTGAAGTGCTAAGTTCAGACATAGGAAGGTGTCACTTGATAACCTTAGACCAGGTTGCAGTTTGGATATGACAGAGAAAGAAAAATATGGGGTAAACTGATTGAGCTGTAATGGAAAATATGGGGCAATCTCTCAAGTAGCACTCAAAATAGGCATTGTTGAGTAGGGGGAAAATATGTAAAGCAGGGGTTATTGAAAGTAAGCACTTGATATGGGAATGCTTTATTGTTAGTGACAGAAGATGAGATGTTAATTTGATATGCGAGTTAGATAAGAGTATGGTGTGGAAGTGCATAGGGATTTCTGGTCATGTAAGTATAGAATCTAGAAGTCTTGTAAGAAAATTTTGCAAATTTTTTTTTTGGGGGGGGGGTGAAGATAGTTTGCTATTCATTTCATGTTTGTCATAAAGCATCATGGTAGTAGATTTTTATTATGTTGATTTGATGACTCTGACAGGCTGTAAAGAAAAAAGTGATACTGCAAACTCAGCAGCAAATTGTTATTTTTATATGGCAGTGTTTGGAAAAAATGATGAATATGAAATTCAGAAATGTATATGTTAACTTCTGCCACTAACCATATTCACCGCATCTTTCTCTAAATGACTCTCTTTTTGTTTTAGTGAGTGAGACAACACTTGCATGTTTCCATTACAGTAATAATAATGTAGGAATATGTCTTAAAAACATTCACTTATGAAGGGTTTTAGGGCTGTGGCAGTTTATGCCTGATTAAAGTTCATTGAAATGAAGGGAAGTTGCATAAAAAGTGGTTGATTGAATATGGCAATGTACATGAAGGCTATTTGTCTAAGGGAAGGGATGCCTTTGTGGAGGACTTTGAAGCTGATTTGTAGTTATGTTACACATGGGGAAAACCAACCATGCAACCAGCCATTTGCCTAGTCTTGCATGCAGTACATTAGTAGTACATCATATTAGTTCATTAGTAGTCTTGAATTGCAGAATGAACTATTAGTACTATTATTAGTATTTACTGCCAGCCACTGGTAGGGGGCCATAGAAAACCCAGTCATTTTGGATATTTATCTCATATGAGTGAATGCTTCTTGTAATCCTTTGAAATAGATAATTTTTTTTTTAATATCCTTATTTCCTTTCTCATAAATAAGTATACTACAGTCAAAAGTCGTTAATTCGGACACCCATAATCCGGACCTCAAAGCTAAAAACTTTCTGCGCATGCGCCGCGTTGGCACATGCGCACAGGCGTTTTACGCGTGCGCGTAAGACCTTGACTACTGCGCATATGCGTGTGCGCAAGTGCAGAATACGTTTTCGCCTGCGCGTTTAATGTATAACGGACGGTGTAAGCTAAAATTATCTAATTATCTATTTCAGTTAATGTTAATTATTGCATTGTTCCTTAATCTTCGAATTGGATCCCGCTTATTATTTTTTGCAGACTGTAAGAGCAATTTTTATAAAAGTAAACTTGAACTTTCGATTATGTCTCCGATGCTGGAACTTCCAAAGGATCTACAAAACGAAAGTATGTTTCGATGTCAAACAAACAAAAAGTGGAATTGCTGCAAAAAATGGAAAGACATGAAGAATGTGACAGAGAGGTTAGTGAAAACGAAAAAATTTCGATTGACCAGTTAGTCGTTATTCTCGGCACAGCAATTAACGGGACTTGAACAGCGGAACTTTGTAACTGAACAAGAAATTATGTTCTGTTTATAGAATTAAAGAGAAAGTATTATCACATAAAACGAAGCAACAAACTAAACAACTTACATTGAAAGAAATGTTTAATAAAGTAAACAAATAAATATTAAGCTTTTTTTTTTTTTTTTTTTTTGTAAATTTTGATACCCTTTAGATCATAATTGTTTTTTATTTCATAAATTACAGTTTCATATTTTTAATTTTAGAATTTCTTCATGCCATCTTACGAGATTTAAACTCATGATCTATAATCTGTAAAAATCGATAATCTGGAATCGCCGAAGTCCTGACGAGTCCGGATTAACGACTTTTGACTGTATATAATATTCCAAGAGCATTGAGAGACGATATAATCCATTGTTGATGTCATAGTGCATGATCAGATATTTCTTGAAAAATAAAAGCTAGTTTATAATTGTTGCTAAGCGTAAAATGGAAAGTGGGAGAAAAATGTGAACTAAATGGCTTTCAACATGGTGAAGTGATTGGGTGTTAATGTTGTAGAAAATCTATTTGTAAAACGTTTTTGAAGGTGTTGGTTTTGCATTTTGTTTTAAGTGGCATCATGCTGAAGTAGAGACATGGAAGAAGTATTACATGCATGCAATCATTATGTGATTGAATGCTGTCGATGACATAGAAACTGGAAAGTGTCAGTACGCTCCATTCTGTGTTTTTACAGAGAGTTTTGAAGTAGATCCAAATGGAATGAGTGGAAATGTATAAGCTTTCAAGATCCTTCCAGATAAACACTAACACAATAATAATTTGCTAAGAGCTCCAAATGCGAGTTTTGGTGGCTGAACAACCTCAACATCATATAAACTGAACATCGCCAAGTTTGTTCTACAGAAAGCAAATCTCATTACTCTCTCTCAGTGTTCCCAAACTTTTACGAATCACGGCAGCTTTTTCAACTGAACTTTTCCCACGGCTCTACCTAAGTAAAGGTAAGCTACTTACCCTAAGTAAAAGTATGTCTAATCCCAAGTAAGAGATGAAAATAAATAAAAAATAAAAGTTGTGCCTGTTCATGACCTCGTTTTTACAGCTCAAGAAACTTCACATGAAGTAAGATTTAATTTATAAATAAACTCTTGTTGAGAGTTTATATATTTATGTAGAGCATCTTATTTTTTGAGTAGGAAGAACTTAGATTGCCATTTTTAATTAAAATGTAGATGTTGTATATCATTTTCAGTGTCATTTCTAATATAATGCCTAAGAATAAATTTTTATGAAGTAATAAAATTATTGCTTTTTATTTAAAGTGTAAAGCTTCGTTCAGACGGGGGCATAAGTGGTTAAAGCCGAGCTCCGTTGACAAGGCAACCAGTCTGTGCAACGTCACAAAATCTGATTTAGGGCTCGTAGCATAGGGTTCAAAGTTTTTAACTTTACGCCGAGTTTGGGATAAGCGTCAACCAATCAGAGCGAAGCTAAAATGAAGCGGCGTTCTACAGAAGATTTTGCTTTCACAAAACAAGCAGAGCGAATGTGGGAAATCAATCGAGCAGGAGAACAGCGCAGGAAAGTTGTAGACACATCCACGCATGTGCAAATTTAGCTTCTCTCGTTGGTCACGGCGTACACCCGTTCTCGCAAGTGTGAACGGAATTCCTGTATTTTATGCCCTTATGACTACGTCGTCTGAACACAGCCTAAGAGAAATTGTTCTTTTATGCTTAAGATTTTTATTTTAAACTTATATAATCTAATTTTGTAGGTATCTGGACATGTCTTTCAATGCACCTTCATATGCTGTTGTGGTATGCATTAAATCATCAAGGATAAATGGCTTGTATGAAGTTCATCTTTTCTACAGTTAAAATGCAGCAGTTCATGGCTATGCAAACCGAGACTGTTTCAAACTATTTTGCATCCAGTATTGTGAACATTACCATAATGTATTTAGTAAGGAGGTGGTTACGAGTAGCATTTTTCAAGGTGTCTTAAGATTTGTGGATTAAGTGAATTTTAGTTGTCTTGAAACTAAAATTTTCCTCCTCTTTACATTGGGTCTTTACTGTGCCTCTGATCATTTTAATAGACATCTGTATATTCAACCAAGAAATATTTTTACGGCATTTTTATATCTACGTTGCAAACATAAAAGTAAAACTTGGCCTATATAGACTTTTTTTTACACATCTTAAATTGCATCAGTAAACATCTTAATTCTAGTAATATTGCAGTATCATAATGTTTTTAATTAAATGTCTGATTTCTCATTACTAGCTCAGATTTAATTTCAAATTTGATAACTTCTTTTTTTATGTAAATATATTAACAATGTGCTAAATTAAATTTTATAAAGGTTCCTTTTAAACTGTCTGTTTTTCTACATTTGCTGTTAATGATTGTATAAAATATATTCGTCTAGTTTGCATATTTGAGCTGATAGAGGTTGATCTAACTGTAAAATACATTTGTAAATACTAATCTGTTTTGCAATCTAGTTTTATTTTTACAATGTAGCCAGCTATTTTTTGTAAATAATTGGATATAAATATATGTGATTCATCAATATTTGTGTTCTATTCTGTAGTTTGTTATTCATTACAGATAATACATGTTACACTGGGAAAAAGGGGTTTATTTATTATTATTTATTTTTTAAATGTAAAATTATGTTCTTGGGTATAAACTATTCATGTGTTTTAGTGACATTACAAGTTTATAATGTACACTCTTAACATTCCTTAAAAAAATTGAAATGAAGTCTGCTAAACTGAAGGAAAATGTTCTTTGTATTGTTATAACCAAATATTTTTATATGCTTATAACTTTTGTAGATTTTTTTCTTATATGACCTTGCAAAATTTTATTTAGCTTCTTCAGTATTTTAATTCAGATAGTGAATGAAATTAAAAAAGGATATTGAGGTATTTTAATTTTAAAAGAAATTAACCAAAGTTGACAATGTTGTATTGGGGAGATGGTATATTGATTTTTGTAAGTCTTTTGATATTTAGTAATAACATTGTTTCTATACTATACTGCATATAAAATGCTGAAATTTGTATTATTAGGAGAAAAATTTTTTTAAATTAAGAAATACTAATTTTATTTGAATTAATTTTTTGAATGGATTATTATGCATTCTAACTTTTTGATGTTTTTTAATGGATATTATTTTCTTAACAGTTGGAAAAATGGAAAACAAAAACTATTGTTTACTATCAGTGTTGAAATTCTTCGAAAAGTGATATGCAGTACTGCATTTGAAAAGGGGTAATAGTTTGAGTGCAACCTTTTTAAATTCAGAATTCTCAAATCCTGAAGATGTGCAATAGAAGTAAAATTGCATTTGAATTCATATTAGCAGAAAATTTTATATGAATAAAGATTGAACAAAAACTATTCCAGTTTTCTTTTTTCATGAACATACATATTTTGTATTTTTTTTTTTTTCTGTTATATATGTATGAAACGCGATATTCTATAGAATGCCTAGGTATTGTATATAATGCCGGACCATTTTAGGCAAAGTATGGAATATGAGAATTATTACATACTTTCCCTAGGCATTGTATAGAATACCTAGGCATTTTATAGAAAGACAAATGCTCTTAAGGAAAGTATAAAAAAAGGTTATGATGAGGCTATTATTTAAAAGACGTTCATTCATCAAAAATGCAAATGTTATTTTGAAAAATTAATAAAAGTTTGCCATTAACACGTTCCTTGCCAGACCATTTTTTGAAGACTTCCCGTCACGCTTTACATTTGTATTATTTTGTTTCTGGCATATGCCTTACAATAATTAAAATAGCACAAAAATCATAATTATTAAGGAAAGGTTGTATAGTTTAACATGCACAACACAACAAACCAATAAATTTATTTTTCTAGGAATTAGTTTAACAAATACTTGGCTGAACATTACTATGCCAAGCAAGTTGCATCCTCACATATAATTTTTTTTTTTTTTATTGTACGTATATCAGTTTTAAATATAACATTTTAGTTAAATTCAAGTTTGTATGCAATTACAAAGGGTTGTTACGATGAACTTTATTAAAACATGGCAAACATAAGTGTGGTTTATCCACACAACTATCGCAGAATGTCGCAACTTTTACAGTACGGTTTCTTGCCGATTGGGAAACCAAATTTTTAACATTTCTTTTGTAACAAATTTTACAGCGCCTTCTTATCGAATTAAAGTGGCCTTCCTCGTCATCAGAATCATCACTAGAAAACTGTTGCTGTGTGATGCCATATCTGCTTATAAGGAGTAATTATTGTAAAATTTGGAAAAGGTCTGAAGAAGAAAAGGCGGAAAAATTGCAACCATTTTTAAATGCAAAATATCCGAATTTATAACAATAAAATAATATGTACGTACCATATTTCCTTTGTTTAACACAATGAAGAAACACACTGAACTATAAATCAATCCCAGCTTCAGTGAAGCAGTAAGTAGTATATCAACGACACGCGAATAAATGACTGATCAAAATACGAGGCATGCAGTTGAAACAAGTTATGGAGGAATAAAATTGCCCATCACGCTTTCCACGATTAAATGAGGTCATCAGCAGTAGTATTAAGATGCCCATAATTGACTGCATAATGAATTTTTAAAAAATTCTTCATTTTACAATGATAATACCAAATGACCGGCAGAGAACGTGTTAGAAAACTGCTATTTGAAATATGTAAAAAAGATAGTGAGATGATCTTGATAATTAATAAATTTGTATTTTATATCTAGTTGAGACTGGATTTAATTTTTGGAAGATCAGGATTGCTATTTAAGTAGAATGTGGTAGCTAGGAAATATATGGAGGTGGGATTGCTATTCAAGACAAACCCCACAAGTTGTTAAATTTGCATGTAGGTCAACTTTGTGTTTAACTTCAAGGTTCTGTTTTTATTATGAGTAACTCTATCTAGGAATTAATATGAAATTTAATATAAACATGATGCCAAAATAAATTATAAATATGCAGCACACTTTTAAATATTTCCATCTGAATTTAAAGAATTTTCTACTTTATAAAATAGTATATGAATATAATTGTGTGTAATGTTTCAGCTTTTATACCATATCTGATTTTCACTATAATTCAAGTGAAAAAATTCCTAGTTGTGGTATTATTCCATTTATAAAAACTTTTATAATGGGAGAAGATGCAGATGTAGATGTAAAAATTATTAAAAAGAATTATATTTTACCAGTAAATGCTGAATGAATCTTGAATTACAATATTACATTCTTTTTATTTTAGCATAGGCAGAATAGACAGTTTTTATTTTTGTCACATTTAAGGTAAATGAGGGGAAAAAAATCTATTACCACAAAACAGCATTTCATTGACTAAAATTCATTGAAATACCTATCTGTGGAGTCACTCTCTAACTGGCAGTTGCCACACCTATAGGAAAATATATAAAACATTTTATACTAGTTAATCAACAATAACGATTTAAACTAAGGATTCCTTTTTTGCATTGTCCTCTTAATAGAATGGTTTTCTTCATTGTTTCCTGTAAGGGATCAATGAAGAACAATGATCTTGTTTTGTTGCTGTAATATTTAACATAAGCATATACAAGTAATTGTACATAAATGGCTGAAATATATATAACAGACTAAGAATACGAAAAAATTTTTGGAAAAAAAAATTTATTAAATTTGTTTAATTATTTTTGTATTATCATTACTTTTGATTTTACAAATATAAACAAGTTTTCAGAAACAAATCAGATATTAATTGCAATTTGACGAAAACATATTTTAATTAGTTTAAACACCTCTCATGGGATGAAAAAATATGAATAGATTTTGCTGTAGTTCATTCATTTGGCATTCTTCATAATTTTTGGCTAGTATTCTCTTGTATTGCTACATTTTGCCTTTTTATATCGCACTTACTGTATAAAAAATTTATTTGTAGGCTTGCTATTGATCTGGAAATGAAGTACTCCAGACCCTTCCAAATAAGTTAATAAGTTCTAAAATAATAAATACATCTAAAATAATATGGCAATGTCTTGAGAAGCTTTAAATAATTCTTTTATTCAATCTGAACTTTTAACTTAAGAGCCATAACTTATGCTTTAGATAAACCGCCGTTTGTGACAATGTAAATTAAGCAATAACAGATAATTCAAATTAAAGGTTGATAAAGTGGTCTAACACTAATACGGTGGAACAAATATGCTTAATTACGCATTTTCTCACAGCCCATGCTTTAAACTTCCGCAGAAGTCTGAATAATCACTTTTAGATAGAGCTAGTGAAATTTTAACAGTGCAACCAACGTAAGTGCCAGAAACTCTGATTCGAAACTTTGACTTATATACTCTAAAAGCTAATTTGCATTGAGGTGATGAGTATGGAAAGAACTGAGTATTTAAAAGTGTTAAATAATATTTGTGTATTTTTCCCTTATGATATGCCATATCTTCATATAAATTTTACTAGAAAATTTTTTTGATGTTATTGCTAATCAATTTTGGTGTATATTTGGCTGTTGACCCCCAACTGATCCCTTGATCGTTACTGACTCCCTTTAAAATTTCATCAACCCCCAGCAGGTAGAAATCTATTTTTTTCGAGCACCACCGATTTAAAACTTTACTATAATTTCTCCATTACATACTTCTCATCAGAATGCAAATTGTGTGTTTATTTAAGCCTGGGGTTTTGAAGATTTTTTGGGCAGTCCTAGTTATGGTTTATATCTTGTCATCAGCTTTGTCAGAGATTATACCAGCTTAAGCCATTTAACTTGCCGATGTGTAGATACGCTACTAGATGGTAAAATATTTAAGCGAGCTTGAGTAGATTATTTTGTGTAATCTCGGACTACATTACTTGAATCTGAATTTCAATTTATTTTAAACTCCCTCAAGATGCAGAGTTTATTTATATGCACAAATAGTGTCTTTGAAAATTTAATGAAAATACTGCTTTAACTTTCTCAGGACTTTATCATCTTAATTGAGACTGGAACAATAACTTGCTCGTCGATGTAGTAGAGTCTGAAGGACATTGATTAAAACTTCTACAGTGGCGGTGCCCAACCTTTGGCCTATCGCGAGCACATTTCCAAAACATCAAAATTTTTGTTAGTGATGCATCTGAAATATTAATTTCGGCAAATGGGTTTGAGATGAATAATAATATTGGTTGAACTTTATGAAAATCGGAGAAGTGGAATTCAAAATTATTTTTCAGTGCATTTAGGTTTACCGAGTATTTCTCTATTTCAATTGCCTTGAGGTTATTAATATGGCTTGATAAATTCTGAAAATGGGTGGCATTTTCTCTTTCATCTGATTTATCCACAAATTTAACTTTATCTGAAAAGCAGTTACAGTTCCAGTCAATTGAAAAAGGGTTTTTTTTTCTTTTCCCTGGAGATCTTCGTTCAGTTTAGCTGTTATATCCGTGAGAAAATACAGATCGGATAACCAATTATTATCATCCAATTCTTTAGAATTTTCGTTTCCGGATTCGGAAAACTGCTTTATTGGAGAAAGAAATACAAATTGAAGGTTGGGCACCCCTGTTCTACAGAAATACAACACTATGTTTGATGCCCAACTGTCTTAACACTTTAACGGCAGCGCGGTTATTCATTGTTCTTTTCGTGCGGCGCTTGAATTAGCAGTCCGTTTCATGGGGCGACGTAGCGCCAAATTATTATACAAATCGTTGCAGTACTTTTTCCCTCCTGAGCCATCTAACATCGGAATGAAGCAATAAGATTCCATGTTCCCTATCAAGTTCATCAGTCAGCAATCAATTATTTTATAATGTCTTGCAAGATATCTCTTATGACTATAAATGCTTACTGTATTTTAACAATTAAAGAAATATAAATGAGTGGTTATTTTTTTGTTCATAGTACCTAATCGGGCTGGTGAGCAAGGTTGAGCACCGCTGTTCTACAAAAATGCAACACTATGTTTGATGCCCAACTGTCTTAACACGTTGACGGCAGCGCCATATTCATTGGTCTTTTCGTGCGGTGGCGCTTGAATTTGCTGTCTGTTTCGTGGGGCAACGTAGCGCTAAATTATAAAATTAAATTATTATTTTATAAAATTATATATTTTATAATATAATAATTGTATTTTTTGATATACCAGCGTGAGTCATGCCGTCCCTTGGAACAATCAAGTATGAACCACCGTGTCAGCCCGCCGTCAACGTGTTAAGAAACATGCCGGCAACTGCGCAACAATTAGCCCGTTCCCCCAGAGCTCCAAGATTCTAGCTCACCAATAAACCCAATGAAACGATTTAGACACTATGCGTGCATCAAATGAAACCATCTAGTAGTTTTGAGAGTAGAAGCTTGCTGTTGACTTTTTTAGAAACTCTAAAAATGCATTTTCTACTA